TAACGTTCTAAGAAAAATGCATTATTTATGTCAAATCAATGGAAAATGTGTGGTTAAAAAATAAAGAAAAGTTTTATATTTGCGTGTAATATTATTTTATTGAAGAATGTGTGGTTGAAATGATGTTAAATCATTGTTGAAAAATGTATTTTTTTAAAAATAATGTGGCTCGAACAAGCCTTCAAGGTAAGTTCATCTAGATACTAAACAAATCCCTCCACATTTATGTATCTTGAATTCATTCCATTTTTTATTTTGACTTGATCGTTGGAGTAGAAACACTCGTGTTGACTTTTTTTCATAGACGATAACCTTTGCACCCTAACAATGTGTTTCACTTTGTAGTTGACACATAGGTGGACACGAAGGGAGGGAGTTGTCGAATCTGTTGACCACTTGATCGAAAGATTTTGAGGTGAAAATAACGTATTCTCGTTGCAAACTCTTAGTATGTGGAAAGCTAATACTAACTGGGCTTGACATAATTTGTCCATTTTGACCCACAACAGTTTATCTACATTTTAATCACATATTTTATCGAGATTCACTGCTTAATGATTTCTAGTTAAATTTTTTTGCCTTCCTTCTGTGCAACATGATCTATACTTTCTCGTAAATAAGATTGTCGATGGATTGAGTTTAGTTCCAAAACAACATGATATGAAGTAGGACAGATTCATTGATGTTTGTTCACTTTTATTTATATAATATAAAAATGTAAAATTTGAAAAATATTTAAGTTATAGTTATAACCATTTATTCAAAAGAAGAAAAATGAACTTTCTTGAAAGATAATTTTCTTATTTGAGAATGTTTCAAATTTAGTGTAAAGAAAATGGAAAAATTGCAAATTTCACATGTATTCTTGCATATGGGGAGAGGTTTTTATAATTTTGAGAAGACATGAAACGACACATAATAATCATCTACTTTAGGGATGTATCTGATATTAACTCTTTATGTTTTAACTTTCTAATTTTTAAAAATTATTATTTTATTTCACATTTATTCTTGCATACAAGGTGAGGTTTTTGTAATTTTGAAAAGACATGGGCTCTTCTATAATAATCATATATTTTTTACTTTCTAACCTTTTTAAGCCCTCATTTGATAGGGATTAAAATTTAAATTTTTATTAAAGTCAAAGTCAACAATTAACTTTAACCACATATTTCAACAGTCTCACAATTTTTCAATTACGTATTTTATCAAAATCTGCTAAAATTTTTATTTTAATCTTCATTGAACAAGGCTAAATTATTATAATTTTATTTTTCTTGGTGCTAGCCCAATCTATGTGCGAGAAACTATTTTTGTTTCCACTTTTGACTTTAAATCCTCCCAATGGTTTGATTAATTTCCAGAATAGAAATGTTGCAAAATTTGGAGTCATTCTACGTTTTCATGAAATTTAATGGTCAAAGTTAACATAAAATTTAATCACACATAAGTTAACATAAAATTTAATTACACATTTCTTATGATTCACAACTACTATCCATTTTTCCATCGCCAATTTCTATCACATTATATGTTGTTGTTTGACCCAAATTCTAGCAAGTATTGGCGTTTTAGTTGAAGTGTCTTGAAAAAAATCAAAGTTATAAACAAGGAAGAAAGGTCGTCACATTTTCGCTAGCCTACCACTAGTTAGCCGCTCTAGCAGTAGGTTAGCTTTTAGATCAGAGAGTTGTTGCCTGCCTGTCGTCGATCTCTCGCACAAGCGACCGGGCGGTCGCTCGTCCAAAATTTTCTCCTTCTATCGATTTCAGGCGCATTTTGACCTAATATCCATCTTTTAGGTTACTTCTAGGGTTTTGAAATGCTCCCTATAAATAGTAGACTCTCCATTCAATTTAGTAGAATTGGTGAGATTGCTGTCACAATATTATTTTCTGCATTGGTTGTTGAATAAAATACTCTATTTGTCTGCCAATCTATTTCTTGCCTTTAGTCATGTTTTCTATGTGCGATCATATACTTCATATTGTGTCATATAGCCTTCTTTTGTCTCCAACAAGTGATATCAGAGCTATTGGTTGTGAATTTTTCAAGGTTTCTACTATCGATGACAATCATGAAGTATGAAATTTCACTTTTGGATTGCAATACAATATTTTCATTGTGGCAAGTGAAGATGCCAGCTGTATTGGTGCAGATGGATTTGGATTATATGTTGTTGGGATTTGACAAAGTGCTTCCAACTTGGATAATAGAAAAAAAACAACGAAATGATCGGAAGACACTTTCACATATTCGTCTTCATCTCTCTAACAACATTTTTCAGGACGTTTTGAAGGAGAAGACAGCAGCTGCATTGTGGTTTAAGTTGGAGCAATTATGTATGACAAAATGTCTAACAAGCTAATTGCATCTGGGGCAGGGGTTGTATTCTCATCGTATGGTAGAAGGCGGATCTTTGGAAGATCATCTGGCTATGTTCAAAGACATCGTCGTTGATCTGGATACATTAGAGGTAAAATATGATAAAGAACATTTCTCCATAATCATGTTGTGTTTACATCCTGCTTTGTTTAGGGATACGATTTCGTATAGTTGTGATACTCTCACCATTGAAAACGTGTATGATACATTGTTTTCAAAATAGAAGATAAAGCATCTGGTTGGATCTGAGTCCAAAAGATGGAGAAAGTTTTATTGTTCATGGTGATCGACGAATAGGTAAGTCAAGGTTCAGTAATCAAATTTGCTATTATTGCAAGAAGAAAAAAACACATTAAAGAAGATTGTGAAAAGGTACTTTGGTTGCAAATTATTGGAAGCAATCAAACACTTTAGACGAGACCAACTTAGTTGAAAACTACTTGAGTTATGGAGATCTCTTAAATATTTTTGAATTGGAATCCAAACTTGACGAGGAGTGGATTTTGGACTCAACATGTACGTTCCACATGTGTGTCAATCGGGTTTTGTTTGAAACATATGAAAAGGTAACGCAAGGTATTGTCATCATGGGTAATAACGAACCTTATCGGGTAGTTGGTATCGGTAAAGTCAGATTGAAATTTGTAGATGGAACATGTAAGATACCTGATCACGTTCGACATATTCCAGACTTGAAGAAGAATCTCATTTTGTTGAGTACTCTTGATTCAAAAGGGCACACATTCTCTAGAGGAGGTAGATATTCAGTTTGGTACTGTGGTGGATATTCAGTTTGGTACAGTACCTTTAGGATTTGGCTCTGGGTCCATGTTGAATAATACTACTCAGTCGAATTTGGAGGATATATGCATTTCCACTTTGCCACCATTGTCCCCGGTTCTATCATATTCAATTGTTAGGGATAGACCTATTGGAGATAGGTATGGGGATGCTGGTTTTGTTGCGCATGCTTTTGGAGTTTTTAGAGGTGTTGAGACTAGCAAGAGGTCTTATATGAAAGCATTATGAGTTGATCTGCTATAAGACGTGCTTCGACCATATTTGGTAATTTATAAATTCTTTGTGAATTTTTTTGGAAACCCAGTGTTTTCGGTTCGTGTATTTGTATTAGATATTGTAGAAGATGAAGAGTATATTTGTGTCATTTGATAAGTTTGGTTCAAGCTGAAGAGTTCAGTTGTTCGTGCAGCTGGACTTATTTTTTCAGGTGGAAAAGTTTTGGAGTTTTATTTGTTGCATCGAAATTTGGTTTAAGGTAGAGATATGTTGTAGTTTGACTCAAATTTTAGTGGGTATTGGAGTTTTAGTTGAAGTGATTTTGAAGAGATCAAAGTTATAAATTGGGAAAAAAAGTCACTGCATTTTTGCTAGACTACTATTAGCTAGCCGCTCAAGCAGTAGGTGAGCTTTTGGAGCAAGGAGCTGTCATCCACCTATAGCCAATCTCTCGCTCGAGCGACCGGGCTCTCGCTCGCCTAGCGCTAGACGTCGCTTGAGCTACAACGTCGTCCTTTCTCTTTCTGTTGATTTCACGCATATTTTGACCTAGTTTCCATCTTTTAGATTACTTCTAAGGTTTTGACGTGTCTCCTATAAAATAGTAGACTCTCCATTCAATTTAATAGAATTGGTGAGATTGCTATCACAATATTATTTTCTCTATTTGTTGTTGAATAAGATACTCCGTTCCTCTGTCAATCTATTTCTTGCCTTTAGTCTTGTTTTCTATGTGCAATCATATATTTCATATTATGTCATATAGTCTCCTTCATCTCTAACACTATAATTTCATTGACTTATAATTTTTAACCAAACAAGCATTAAAACTGCAGATTTTTGACACTGCTGGCCAGCAAAAGGAAAAGCCTTCCTCTTTCGTTTTTGCAGAATTAAGCTTAGTGTTTCATGTATAAAATATGGACTTTTAGCCCAGGATGGAGGGAAATGGACAGTCGTTTTGTAAATTCTGGTGGCAGGAAATTAGGGTCTGTTCAAACTTAAATACGACTTTTAGATTAACTTAAAGTCGCTTTTTTCAATTCAAAAGGTTAGTTCGAAAAGGTGACTTCACTTAAAATCAAACAGATTTTATTGATTTAGTTGTTAAAATGTTAATTCATAGGTAAGTACTAGTATTTCAAGATCATTGGTCACATGAAATCTGCCCAACTATAAAAGTTCACGAAAGCGAAGTTAATCATAATTGAAACAAATCATTAACTTTATCAATAAAATATGTGTTGAATTTTAAATCTCCTTTTACATTATCATTGAGTAGTCGTAAAACAATAGTGAACCAGGGTGGGATAATCATATGTCAATTTAAAAATTTATAAATCCCTGTCCGTTGGATCATACCAGCACTAATCAATCGATAATCCCAACAATTTCTTTCTAGTTGTTGACCAAACCCCACTAATATCATATCTAACGGCCAAAAGCTGCACCAAGATAATCATTTTCTATTAATATTTGTTATTCAAGACGCACAAGGGTATATCAGTAATTCAACCAAGTTGCCAAATTCGAGAATTTCTATTCCTTCCACCACCTTTAAGTGCCTCTCTATCCCCCTGTCGTTATCTCGAATTTTCCTATGGCAAGACCCACGTTCAGAGTGCAATTACCATCTCACCCTCACTGATCCTTGATTCCCTTAATAGAGGGTAGAATGGTCATTGTAGTACGCTAGGGCATTTCCGCCATTTGAATGTTTATATAGAGAGAGGACAGAGACAGAGAGATTCTTCGGAAGAGAGAGACAGAGAGAAGTGGAAGAATAGGGAGAGGGAAGATCCGTTTGAGTCCGTTAATTTTGATTAATAATTTATGAAGGCAAAACCACACCAATGGTGACGGACCAAGAGATTGCAAAAGGAGTCGAGACTCTGCTCCGTCAGTCTGACCCTAACGCCGTTACCTCTCTAAACGGCGTCGTTCAGCAGCTCGAAGCCAAACTAGGGTTAGACCTGTCCCACAAAGCCGGCTTCATCAGGGACCAGATTAGCTTCCTCCTCCGGTCGGAACCCGTGCCGAAAGACCAATTTGCCCCCGAGATCCACACTCAATACCAAAACCGTAGCCATCCCCCTCAACAATTTCTCGATCCCCATGTCGTCTTCCAGCAGCAGCTCCACCAACAGCACAACCCGTCCCCGCACCAGCCTCAAGCGCAACCCCGTCCGCAGCCGCCGCGGCCGCCTCCACTAACCGTGGCGAAAACCGGAGCTGACGCTCAGAATGTAGTGGCTAATGCTTCTGGAACGCCGAAAGGAAGGTGTGTTTTCAACCATTTTTGATGTTGTAAACAAGGTCTTAGACATCCGGTTTGTGCTATCTGGGTAGTAAATGAGGGTTAGTGTTTCGGTTTCGGTAGTGAAGTGAAGTCGTTGAAAAGCTTAAATTTTATTGAAAAGCTTAAATTTTATTGTGACATTAGGTCTCTGGTGTATAACTGTTAAGGGTTAAACCGAGCTTGGTTTCGATTAGTAAAGATTTCGTCGTGATTTTTTGACAATATCATTTTTGTTCGTTATAGTGTAACTCTGATTTTAATTTGTCCAATAATTAATGATTGTAATCTTTAATTAATTGTTTTTTTGTGGAGGTACACCTGTTCTTTATGATTATATGTAATATGTTAACTCATGCATGAAATGAGTTAACATGTCTGTTGCTGAAAGCAGAAGAAATGAAATTTTTTGGTGGATTTCCTTAACAGTTTTCTCTTTGTTAAGTGGCAAACACCAAGCTTCATCCATTTAACTATGAATACTCAGCTGCGTGTCAGATTAATTGGCTCGAATGTTGTTTTATCAAGGCCTTACTAGTCTTTCACTCTTCCATATTGTCTCAGTGCCTATTGTTTTTGGATTTATGCCCGTTTTATGTGAGAATTTTGGTCGGGCATGCCTTGAAAGAAATTAATAACTTTTACTGTTTCATTTCAGAAAATTGTTTGCCTATCTAGTTTGAGCATTGTTCAGAACATCGATTGCAGAAATATTTGGGTACATTCATTACCCAGTTAACTTGACTAACATCCCCACCCAATACCAATATGCGTGCACACATTCTCAAAGAGGTAAAGGGAAAGCTAAACGGCAAGCAAACACGTATCTCATGAGCACAGATACACACCCATGCATCATGTTGGGTTAGGATGCTAAGTTATCCAACATAAATGGTCATAGGCTGATAGTTGATTTTTTTATACGGATGTCACTCACTCATCTTGCCAATGATCTCTACTGTGCTCATCTTTTCTGACCTGATAATAGATTGAACAGAAGCCTAATGCATGTAATATTCTAGATGAATATTATGATTAATAGTCTTATTACTTTAAGTGAAAAGATATTCCACTGTTTAAAATGATTTGCCCACATGATTGAAGTTATCATGTTTATTCTACATTATCATTAATTACTATTCAGAACACAGCTGTAGGAATTAATATGATTTGTTTCCAAAAAGTGTATTTTCTTTTGTTTGGAAGGCCGAAAACAGTAGTAAGGTCCGTTTGATGCATTCAGAGTTTCTGTTAATGTCTGTGTCAAGTATGAATGCTGTAATTATGCTAAACACACACACACACACACACACACCCTCTCTTTCTATGGGAACTGGTAAAGAATAATCCTCAATTTTCAGCACAATCAAACAAGATACATAATTTGTTTCACTTACTTTTTTATTTCAGCACTACTGCTGGAACCAAAAGACGAGGCGGTCCAGGTGGTCTGAACAAAGTATGTGGCGTTTCACCTGAACTACAGGCCATTGTTGGGGAGCCAGCTCTGCCGAGGACTGAGGTTTGGATTTCCAGAGAAAATAATTTCCTCATTTCGGGATCATTTTTGACATTCATTGTTTATTCTATCAAGTCCTGGTGCTAATTGTATGGGATATTGTAAAGACCCAAATATTTACCTTTAAAATTTTTATACGTGTACCGTAAAAGAATACTTTTATAAACAAAAGGAAAATATAATATTTTCTTATCGTTCGAGGATTTAAAATTAATTTTAAGAAAATTACAGTGAAATTATTAAAATCCTTAACTACATAATTTATTTTTCCTTTTTCATCCATGCAAGCACAATCCACCTCCGATTGCCTCGAACCTGCCTTTTTAGTTGCCTATTAAATATTTAACATATACATGTAAATGAGTAATAACGAATTACATTTTATAATTAATTATGAAAAATAATTACATACATATGGAGACACGAGAATCAAAATCCAAAGTTCGTGGCTATAATTCCCATGCATAGCGCTATTAAACTCTGGTCCTTTGGACTTACACATATAGACCCTTATCATAATCATAATTTGGATTTTCGTATTATTATATTCATAACTTAAGGTTCCGTAATTCAAATAATGAAAGAACAATTTGTACTACTATACTTAAGGTGTAAGAATGAAATTTGGGTGAAAAAAAAATGAATTTCAGGAAATTGAATTGCCTAGAACTTGTTTTAAAGGGAATTGTCAATTAAATGTATTTGATTGATATAATTTTCACCTCGAAAATATTGAAATTTTGGATCTTTTGGTGTTCGTTAGACTTTGTTTTTTATGAAAATTGTTAATTAAAGGGATATAATTTGTTATAATTGTGAATAGAATTTGTTTTCATTTCCCAAAAAAAAAAAAAAAACAAAAAACAAAAAAAGGGAGCTGAAACTGATTTCCCGCCAAACCCATGGGAATTGTAATTCCACAAAACCAAGGGAAAGGGGTCACATGGGATTGAGGGAGGGAGGGAGGGAGGGGGGCTGGGGGAATCAGTTGCCAAGAAAATTCTTGCAATCAAACATGGAAAAATGTGGAAAATTCCTCAAATCAAATAGGCTCTTAGAGTTGTATGGAAGAAGATAAAGGTAAATTGAGGAAATTGTCTTGTTGGACTTTCACTCCAAAATTTCTTGGACACCATGCGTGCTAAACTTTATAATGTGAAAATTTGTTCGTGGAAGATGAGCTAAGGGAAAGAGAGATGTAAAGTATGAGAAAAGTTGTGTGAGTGTAAGTGATATGAGGAGGGTATAAATAGGGGTTTTTAAGGTTTGATCCCATTACCTATATTTGATACCAATATTCATTCCCTTAATGCTACATGTTTTTCCATGTAGAGTGTAATCAATCACTCAACTAATTATCCAGTTAACTATATTAATAAATATATAATTGCTACTAATAAGGTATTGACATATAATTAAACATTTGACTTAAATTTACACCTGTGTGTGTGTGTAAGAATTAAATCCTCATAATTTATGCCAAGTAACCTAATTCACATTTAATCAAAATAGAAGTTACTTTCCATAATCTAAATACGCCAATCCCATAATCTCTTCCTAATTTAAACATGGCAATTCCATGATCATTTTCTTATCAAAATTTGAAATTCAAAAAGTGCTCATCGGGTCCTTCAAGTATGGAAAGTTATCAATTTGGTCCCTTTCATCAAAGACTACACAGAAACTTTTCGGGATATTACATATATTAAAGCAGTTCGTTGTTTTTTTATTCAGATTGTAAAGCAGCTCTGGGCGTACATCAGGAAGCACAACCTTCAGGATCCAGGTAACAAGAGAAAGATTATCTGTGATGATGCCTTGAGATTGGTTTTTGAAACGGATTGCACTGACATGTTCAAGATGAACAAGCTGCTTGCAAAGCATATTTTGGCACTTGATCCAACAAGTATGTATGATGTACACGAGAGCAAATTTGACATAGATGTTTTTCCTTTTATGGTTTTTCCTATTTCTTATTGTTGTATACAAATCAAACATTTGCAGAAGAATCTGCTCAAGCTAAAAAACCAAAGGTTGAAGATTCTCCTGAAAAGGAAAGTACGGAATCCAGTCCTCCACCTGTTATAATATCAGATTCACTTCTAAAATTTTTTGGTACTGGAGAAAGGGAGATGCTTCAATCTGTGGCACTAGGACGTGTTTGGGAGCACATAAAGGATAACCAGCTTGAGGTGGGTTTAATTAAGGAGTCATCAAAACAATTGTTCTAAATATATATTTAAATTAAGTAAACCACACATCATACAAGTCGCTGATAATATCAGAATTGTAATGTAGGATGAAGCCACATTAACATACTTTGAATCTTTTAAATTATTAAATACTAGGAATCAGGAACGAGAACCCTTTTTGCCATGTGCATACCTTAAATTTTTGGAAGAAAGCTTGGTTTGTTGTACGCCTAGTTCATTATCGTAGTTTCATATTTCAAATCTTGATGTACATTTTGATCTCTCTTTTTGTTATATTTTGCCTTCCATTTTAGCATGTCCATTTTAATTCTTCAAGCATTAAATGAGATATATACTTTGTGGTATAATTGATGGTCCAAATTCACAAACAAATATTTAAATTGGGTACTAAGTGAAGAAATATTTGCACATAAAATTATTTATATATAACAATTGAGCAAATTTTGTATTTTAGGTATGTAAATTTTTTCTTTCTATTTGATGGAACTCATAATTTCTTGAGTAACACGGGCGCAACTATCTACATCTATATAAGAAAAGTGCTTGCTTGTAAATTTAAAAAATGTTATAGGCTGCTGTAACCTGTTACATAATAGGTCATGATTTCAGGATTTTAATTAATCGATACACATCACTTGTCCATTAACCTTGTGTTTGCTTGCTATGTGTTGTGGGCTAGTTGGCAGCTGTAACTTTACACAATTGGTCATGATTTCAAATTTTCATTATTTGATACATTTCTCTTGCCAAGTTACGGTGTGTCGCTTGCCTATGTTTATTGTAATAATCATTTTTGGTTTTGAACATGTACTGGCGTTTGAGTCCTTAAAATAAGAGTTTCTTCGATTTTTGGCTTCACCCATACTCAGTGGGCTGTTTAAGAATATGTGAGAATGCAGGTCAAATTCATGATCTGACATTGAATCTCCTATTCGAATAAAACCTATAGGATGCTGCCACATGCACTTGTGTACCCTTCCGAAGCTTTAGATCTTGTGTGTTGAGTGCTGATTATAAGTTGGGACATGTTATCTGGATTTCAAATTCTTCCTTATCTGGTTTGTTTTGCATAGGATCCTCTGAATTCAACGACGATTCATTGTGATGCAAAGCTTCAGGAGCTTTTAGGATGTAAAAGCATTTCTGCATTGGGAATGCATGAGTTGATCGCACGCCGTCATTTATTTAAGCGTTGATGGTGCTTTCTCATGTGAAATGGTAAGTATTAAAATGATTGGACATGCTAGTTTGCACATGTAGATTTGCATCGTCATTATTTTCAAAAAGTAATTAATTGACCTACTTGCACTACATCTCATTCTTTCCTCGAATACATCATTTCTTTTTAAATCTTTTCATCTTATTTCATGTCACGTGAGAAATCATCCAATTAGGTATATAAAGCTTCCTTTATACAACTTTAGCTTGAACGTGGCCATTGTTTTCTGTTTCTCGTCAGAAATAGCTTCAATTTTGTATTTGCTGCATTGGTTAAGCCCGACTTAATATTACCAAGTTCTATTCAAGTTTTTGATCAAGCTTGCTCCATGAATTTTTTGCCTCATGGAACTGTCTTAAGATTCTTGGTTATTCATTTCTCTGTCTTGCACATATAAATATATTTTTGCGCTTGGAAAGAACTCACTTGAACTTACATATCCAGCTCTCCTCCAGAATAATTGCGCAATATGATGACCCTTTTTGTTTTACTTTTGTAGGTATCTGGAGGTTATAGCTAGCTAGTTGTTTGGATGACCTGACTGGTGTAAATAATGTTATTGGCAAGAAACATTTTGTAGTTACACCAATGCTTAACATCTTTGTAATGGATAGAAGTAATCGCCAGAATGATGTATTTTGTGAACACCATATAATCGGTGATGTAGATTTCACATGTTTAATTCAAGCTATTAGTTGTTAATACTCTCTTGCAATCAATTTTATTATCTTCGTTTTTCTGGTTTGTATTTGTATCCCCGTGTACTTTCATGAATCTTCAGAATTAGTAGGTGTGATGCGAAATTTTTGGGGATCACTTGGTTTAATCAAACATTGAGTGGCTAAAGTTTAAATAGATTTTTTATTTTTTATTATTATTATTTTTTTTGTTGATCTTCAAGAAAGATTTGAACTCTGAATGAAATGTTATACTCCCTCCATCTCGATTATATAGGTTGAATTTCCTTTTTCTGTTGTCCCAAATATATAAGTATGTTTCTTAATTTAGAATATTTTGTTTTGATCATTTACCTATATACCCTTATTTAATTTTTTTCACTTGATATGTCAACTTCTTGAAATCATCCAAATATGTACATTTTCACTTCTTGAAAACGTGGAACAACTTTCATTTCTTCTTTTCCAAATTAAATCATTCAAATTCTTTACTAATTTCAACAATAGTTTACTACTACATATTAAACATTAAATAGGGGTAAATTAGGAAAGATTTTGGCAAAAATTAATTTTCCAATGATATTAAAGAAAAATTTTTAATCCGTGTGAAAATGAAACAAGTCTATATAATTGGGATGGAGGGAGTATAAGATTCAAAAAGTTTCAATTCCGGTAATGAATTTGACTTGATAATTTTTTCTTTATTCGTGTGGGGGTCTTACAGGTGCAAAGTGGTACGGTCATGCATAGCACCGCCCCTCTCATGAGTCGAGTAGTCAAGTGGGATTAGCGGACACGAACTTAGTTATCAAGGACAACTGGGTGGGTTGACCCCAACGTGGCATGTGTATCGTGGGTGTCTTTCCTTCTAGAATCTAGGGCATAAAGGGGTATCGTGCAATAGTAATCTATTCTACTAGATTACCTTTTGTCTATTCTCTATCTATTCGTCACAACAGATTATTTAAAATAAGCTTTACATTAGAAGATTTGAATGCATTGAAAATAACTTGTTTATTAGTTACCATTGTAGGTGCAGGGGACGAACACTAAGCGGTTTAACAAGACTTCGAACAAAATCCATCCCTTATAATAGCCTAAATAATAAAGAGTTAGCTCATGAGAGTAGACATTTAAAAACTGATGAATCATAATAAGTATTTACGGACAGTCAAATTCATTTACAATTGAAATACACTTTGAAAATCGAAAAGAATTGTAACTTAAAACTAAGGGTCCGTTTGATTGCAAAGATGAAATTGAACTGAATTGAAAGTGAATTCCAGATAATTGAATTGCCTAGAAATTGTTTTCCTAAGAATTGTTAATTATTGTGGGATAATTTTCCATGTGGAAAATGTTGAAATAAAATTGTTTTTTTTTTATCTCAGTTTGACTTTGTTTTACATGAAAATTGTCAATTAAAGGGACATATTTTACTGGTATTGGGGATGAAATTTGTTTCTATTGCCAACATATAAAAAACAAAAATTTCAAGAAAATCATCCATCTTTTGGTATTCGTTTGACTTTGTTTTACATAAAAATTGTCATTTAAAGGGAATATATTTTTTTTTACAATAATTTTTAGAATTTGTTTTCATTGCAAAATAATAATAATAATAAGTGCTACAGTAACTGAGAATTTCAATTCTCACCATTTTGGTGGGAATTGAAATTCAAGGAAAACATGAAAATTAGCTTAGGTGGCATAAAAGGTGGAATTCGAATTCAAGGGAAAATTTTATCAATCAAACAACAAAAAATTAGAAAGATGGAATTTAATTTCCATTTTCCATGGAATTGGGTGCAATTAAACATAGCCTAATATTTATAAAGCGCAGTCAAAGTTAGACAAACTGCGACTACAAGTGATCAAGGGGCTAAGGATAGTTGTAGTCCTTGACATTGTAGGTTGTTTTGATTCTGTATGCAAGTGGGCACTAGCTTAGCTATCCACGCCAACTGGTGGGCTGATCCATAGCATGACCTGTGTTTCGTAGATGTTATATTAGTTGGGTTGCCTCACCATTTCTTGCTGGCTCAGATTGAGACTTGTGGGCTTAATCTGTTTGGAATTATTTTCGGGTTATAAATCATGCTTTTAAAGAAACACGCCTTTGCCTCTTAAATGTGGCTTCACTCTCACCCTTGGATGGTTGACTGATCAGATATTTACTTGGTTTTGACCCTAATACTAGATCATTCAATCCCTTTCAACTTTTCGTCTCTCTGCCCTTCTCTCTGAGTGATAGATTAGGGTTCTTGGTCGCTGTAATTCATATGATCTTAGTGATTTCTCAATCTGTAATCTCAGTGATGGTTTCTGATTGTGTTGTATAGTATGTTAGCGATTGAGAATGAGTGGGTTACATTTTAGAATAGAGGCGAAAGAATATTCGAAGAAACCTTTGGTTTCTTCGTACATGGTGTACCGTTCTTAATTTATACTTAGTGGATCTTGAGATTTATCACCTTTTGGTGATGCTCAACGGGTGACTAGGTCGTAAGACCGAACATCCGGGCCCTTTTAGGGCAAAACATATCTTCGTATTCGATTTCTTTATTTTCTGCAAAGCGATTTATTTTTGAGACTAAACGATCTTTCGCCTTAACAAGTGGTATCAGAGCCACTGTTTTTTTTTTTTTTTT